CATTATATGTATAATGAAATGCATTGCTAATGATTTTACATAAATGCATTGCAAATGAGGAAGAAAGGGATTGTCAGTGGTCAGGAATGAATGCAAGCATTACTGATAGAATAGGGATATTATATGGAAAATGGATTTTACTATAGGAATGCATTGAAATCCCAGGAATGAATGCAGCTTTGATAGAATAGGGATATTATATGTATAAAAACCTAATGATCCCAGCATGCAGCAGTTTTGAAAGTGAAAACCTTTGCTTTTGACGGAACACTTGACGATAGATGTCGATAGATGTGCTAGCACGATGTCACAAGTCATCGTGACCGAGGGTCTGAGTGTGCTGGCCTTCTTCAAATTGTTGATCACGCTAGATAACACGATCTCTCCCAAAAACTGTAATTAAGGTCTGCTCTGTATAGTTGCAATATAAACAGGTGTATTCTGTGTGTGTTAAACAAACACAAATGTGCCTGAGCGAGCGTCTGTCGTAGGGATTGTCTAGCTGCATTAGTACACGGGCATCGTCGAAAACGAGTGGCCAGCTGTATACATTATTTTAATGGATACAGATTATTTGAGTAAATTCTTTGTTTTAATTAAACAGTATTAATTACATTTAGCGGTCTGAATATTCGAGAAATCTCTTCGAAAATATGCATTATCCAACAGACTACAAATCTACTCTAAATTATATACACACACACACACGCACACACACACACACATACATATACTCTCTTATTATAAAAATCTAATAATAATATATTGCTCTACTTGTTATTGAGCACTTTTTAAAATACTACTAAATGTAAATGTAAATGCGACTCACAGAGGATTTATACTCCATCTGCTCTTTCTATCATTTATATATATATATATATATATATATATATATAAGTAACGAAAATCTTGGTAATCCGTATGGATAATTCCAAGGAGGATGAAATCCTGAGAGCTCAATGTTAATTCAGTGCTAATAATTTAAAGAAAACAGACAACTTTAAGGCTCCATTGTAATAATTTATTTCACCAGGGGCTTTTATTTTTCCCTGGATCTTCAGACTTCACTTTCAAAAGGTGAAATGAAAAGTGAAATTAAAATTTACACTTTTGACGGGCAGTATTAAGCTTATATAAGTTAACATAGAAGGGAGCAAGTAATGGCGGGGGGACATGGTCGAGTTTAGAGAAGGAAGGATTGAATTTTAAAATTTATTTTATATTTCTTTATAAAACTTAATATTGAGGAAGGAGGGCGTAAGGATCAGATATTGACCTATTTAATCGGTCAACTCAACGGAAATGATATGTGGAAGGAGAGGGTGAAAAAAGGGAAAAAGAAAAAAGGGGGAAGTAAAGAGAAAAGAGATGTACTTAGGGTTTTTGGAGGAAGAAGAGGGGTGGTATAGCTTTAGTAATTTAGATAAAAACATATTTTAATGTTTGATAGGAATTTAGATGTTTAAAAAAAAACTCCACAAAGAAATTAATTTAATGCTTGTTAGCAATTTAAATATTCAACTTCTCTACAAGTAAACAGGAATTTAATATGAGTTGAATACTATATTAATAAACAACAATAACAAAAAAATCTTGTTAAAGACTGTTAAGGTAACATCTTTATCAGTTTGAGTCTAATTCATAAATGTAATCTAATGAAATGGATTCAGTCCGACAATTATTTAATATATTTTCTGTTTATACGTTATTTTATTAGATACAATTTATTTAAGTAAATGCACTGTCTTTTAATTAAACAGTATTAATTACATTTACCGGTCTAAATATACGGGAAATTTAATTAAAAACAGCATAAAAATAACGTATAAAAAGAAAACATATATAATAAGTTGTCATTGTTTGCGTTAAAGTACGTTTATTGAACAGATATGGTCGTTCGGGAAAGATCATCGGAGATTTGTTGTTTAAAAATATTAATTTGGACTTTGCTAGCCCGACGATTCTCTATAGCTAAATGGTATAGCATGTCAGATCAAATGACGGTTCCATATAGAAATACAGCTTCGATTCCTGTTTCTCGAATATTCAGGTCAGCAAATGTAATTAATAGTGATTAATTAGAAAACAGAGCATTTACTTAAATATATATCTATTAAAATAAGGTATATACATAAAATATATATATATGTGTCATATAGGAAGAAAATGAGTAACTACCGTCATGGAGGTTCGAGCGTGACACTCTGGACTTATGAGTATATGTTTTCCGCCAGGTGTATAAATAGCGGTGTCAGGCTACTGACTGGAGTGATTATTGAGCGACTACTGAGTGGAACTATCCAGTTGAATTAGTGTGAATTATTGTGCATCGATGATTTGGGTTTCGATTTAGGATTTACCAGACGTTAAGTTGAGCCGCGCTGCTAACAAGGTATTCACTGAAATGGTTAATTATCTTTGGTTGACTTTTACTTCTTTGTTCTTGTTAAGTGTTTATTTGCGTTGTAATTAAATACTGTTTTATCTTAACATTGTTTGTTGGGGGAGGGGAATAAAACAACAGTTTAAAGACTGGCCCCAATGAATATTTACAAAATGAAAACAAAACAGTAAAGATCTCATCCAAACAATTAACATGGAAGTATTTATAGAAAAGAGAAACAGAGGAAACTTTACGGCCGTTGGAAAATGATTGAAGCCGACCTTCCAGGTCATGACCAATAATATTGCTGATTCTTCTTTGGTTAATATTGTTTATACTTCTTTGGATCTTATCAAATTTGATCTTTCTAAATATGTTATGCTTAGACAAACTTTGAAGTCAAATATCTTAGAACCACAAAATGGGCAGAGAGAAACTTTTTTTTTTAAATTCGCGTGACGATATATTATCTTGAATCATAAATAAATTCGCTTTTTTTTTTTGGTTGAGCGGGATCATTTGTAAAGATAAATGAAACACTCTGACTGCTAATAAAAAGTAACTTTTTTTAATTTATATATTTAACTGAAAGTATCAATTTATTTTTATGTGTCTGGAGATCTACGAAAGTTGACTTTTTTTTTGTAACTCTAGATGCATAGAGGGTGCGATGGGTAAATTGTCGTCTAAATGACACAGAAACGAAAATAACACTGACATTTCGTTTAAACAGATATACAGGGTGCGATAGATAAATTGTCGTCTAAATGACCCCCCAAAATGAAAATAACACTGACATCTCATTTTGACAGATATGCATGGTGCGATGGATAAATTGTCGTCTAAATGACACAGAAATGGAAATAACACTGGCATTTCGTTTAAACAGCTATACAAAGTGCGATAGATAATTTGTCGTCTAAATGATGCCAAAATGAAAATAACACTGACATCTCATTTTAACAGATATATTTACCAAAATTACGCAAAAATGTCTTGAAATACTAAAGAGTAAATTTATTGAATAAAATCCACATTGACTTTAACCACAGCCTCCAGACGACTTCGGAATCACATGAAACTCTTCCAGACGATCTCTTTGGTGAATGCTGCTATAATCCTTGCCTTCAGTTCATCTTTCGTGTTACAAAGACTTTTCTTTTATCTCTCACACAACCGTGCCCTACACATAATAAGCAAGGGCGTTGCACTATGGGGAGTTAGGTGGCTAGATGTAAACGGTGATATGGTTGCAAAAATTGTCTGACAGCCATCACTGGGTACTACTGCTTGTGTGTCATGATTCAGAGTCCTGTTCTCAAACATAAGGTTTTCGGGCAGCCACCCTCTTGACCCAGGGCAGTACTACCTTCTCAACGCACTTGATGTCGGCCTCTGTTTTGAGTCTGAGGTCCTCACCAACAAATTCGGAAGTTCGTTTGTTATTAGAACGGTCAGAGTGAGTTTTCAGAGTACAGATTGACACCCAAACACACTCTGACACGTTCGTATTGAAGATTCGAAATTCCAACGCATATCAACTGAAGAAGGTCGGATCGTACAACGGCCGAAACTTAGTCAATATAACAACAAAAAAGAGGAAAACAGTCCGAACAATGTAAATAATATGAATATATATATATATACAAGTTCAATTGCATCTATTCCATTGTACATGATACTGCTGGACTATCAAAAGAGGCTTAAATAACATTAAATATGACAATTTTTGATGCGTGATTCCGAAGATGAACCTTTTTCATGTTAGCTACCATTTTGCTGTACTGAAATTGCTCATTTTTGAAAAAGACTTACGATCTTGGCTGATCGAAAATTTTTTTTAATTGTAGAAAAAATCAATTTACAAATCAATTTATGTTATGAAATAAACTATTTTTTTTTTGAGACAAAAATTTTAAAATAGATGTACTGAATTTTTTTCAATTTTTTGCCAAAATTCAAATTAATTGATGAACTTTATTAGTAATGAACTTTAGAAAATTTGATAATTAAGATGACATCAAAAAATGAAACCCTAAAACTGTTTTTAAACTATAATTCACCATGATTTCCTCGTGTACATTCATATCTGCTCGATGCGTATCGAAATGTGACGTCTTATATATATATATATAATATGTAATATAACATGAATATATATACGATTATATATGAATACGTATATATATATATATATATTTATATAATATGTAATATAATATGAATATACAATGTAGACAGTGTCAAAAATGAATAGAATTTTGAAATATAAAGTTTACAGAAAGAAGAAAAAGCTAATGAATCAATTAAATAACGCGGGAAGATAAAAGAGCGGGAAAAAAAGTCGAAGAAGATAAAATGGTGGGAAAAGTTGGAAAAGACACCGTACGATTCGAGCACATTAATCATTGATTTGTAAAGTTTTTTTTCTTTTTCTTTTCTTCTGTCGAGAGAAGAGATTGTTTATTGGGAAAATTCCCAAGTATTCATTCGTCGTAATTTGTCATTCGACTACAAAGACTTTGCGTAATCATTGAAAATCTCGAGGCCTTTGTCGGCAGGAAAAGCCATTTATCTCAGCCGGGTTATCAAAATATTACGCAGACTTTTCGCATTTATGCGTCAATCTATCACGGGGAAACCATTTCTATCTATCTATCTATCTATCTGTCTATCTATCTATCTATCTATCTATCTATCTATCTATCTATTTCAGTTCTACATATCTATCTATCTATCTCAGTCTGTTTCTATCTATCTATCTATCTATCTATCTCAGTCTGTTTCTCTCTATCTATCTATCTATCTATCTATCTATTTCAGTTCTACATATCTATCTCAGTCTGTTTATATCTATCTATCTATCTATCTATCTATCTATCTATCTATCTATCTATCTATCTATCTCATTCTGTTCATATCTATCTATCTATCTATCTATCTATCTATCTATCTATCTATCTATCTCATTCTGTTTATATCTATCTATCTATCTATCTATCTATCTATCTATCTACACCAATATGGTCTGAACTATGTTTAGATAAATCTATGTATGCAGAATCAAACAAGAAATACTTGATCTTCATTGACGGAGCGGCCATTGCCTTTTTTCGGTTGAAATTTATAAAATCTTTCTCTTAAAACAATATTTCAGGAAAATAGGTTCCTCTTTACTGATTGGTGTTTCCTTCCTTGCTTTTTGTTTGAAGTTGTGTGGAAAATCAACATTTAGATTGTCATTCCTTTCTCTTCGAGTTACATGTGATATCCATTTGTGTTGTTGCTGCTGTTGAAGTGATGTGCTTTCCTTTATTGGTACAGTTCTTTGTGATCATGTAGCGCCAGTTCACAATGTTCAAAGAATGAATCTCTTTGCCAATTTAATCAGACTGTATTAAATTACAATTTTGCTTTCATTATGACATATTTCTTTTTCCTGTTTTTCATTATCCCATAAGAGATGTTCTTTTGTCCAGTGTTTACGTCTTATTTCACCTGTTTTGATTAATTTGTTTTTTTCGTTGCAATGTGTCGTTTTTATTAACCTTTCATGGTCAACTACTTTCGAAATAAATGGACTCTTTTATTCTGGCGTGAAGTGCCGTACGTTTTCGGAACATAAATTTTATCATTATTAGAAAAAATATTAATAATGTAAAAATGTTGCAAGGAAAGTTGGTTCACTGTGTTCAACAGTTTTCTCGTCAGAATCTCTCTTAGATATGTACAAGTCTACCATTCATCATTGCTTTGAATATTGCTGCCATATTTGGTCTGGTGCTTCTGCTATATATTTAGAGATTCTTGATAAAATCCAAAGAATCTATCTTCCATATTTATAAGTCTACCATTCATCCTTGCTTTGAATATTGCTGTCACATATGGTCTGGTGCTTCTGCTATATATTTAGAGATTCTTGATAAAATCCAAAGAAGAATCTATCTTCCATATTTATAAGTCTACCATTCATCGTTGCTTTGAATATTGCTGCCATATCTGGTCTGGTGCTTCTGCTATATATTTCGAGATTCTATGATAAAATCCAAAGAAGAATCTATCTTCCATATTTATAAGTCTACCATTCATCCTTGCTTTGAATATTGCTGTCACATCTGGTCTGGTGCTTCTGCTATATATTTAGAGATTCTTGATGAAGCACAAAGAAGAATCTGCAATATTATTGATTCTGATCTGGCATCTCGGCATTACCAACATTCTCACCCTTGTAACGTATCTTCTCTCTTTCTTTTCTATAAATACTTTCATTTTGATTGTTCTGATGAACTTTCCTCAATAGTATAAATTGAATTTAAGCGCTATACTAGATTGGTACTAAGGTTTCATCATTTTACAGTTGAAATGGCCAGATGAAGCCGCAAGTTCTATGCTAAGAGTTTATTCTATCACACTTCTCGTTTGAGGAACACACTTTCGGCTTCTTGCTTCCCGGTCAACATTGATCTTCAATAATTTATGTGTAATGTCAATCGTTATCATCTGTTTTCATATATTGAAGATGGCGATTGACATTTGTATTTGAATTTTTGAAGATTGTCGTTATCAGAAAAACGTGCTCAGAAGAAATTTCAAAGGGTAGGAAGTGTAAGAAAAGAAACTGTTGGGTTGCATTTAGCTATTTTAACAGTGAATCAGTTGGTCTTAGATGTCAATCAAATAGCACGCTTAAATTCTTGCAGACGGTCCACCCTGGAAAAAAGCTCAACAGAGCAGTTACCATGGGAATATTTGTAGAAAAGACTGAGGGAAGACACATCACGTCGGTGAGAAAGTGACTGAAGATGAGATGCCAGGTCAGGACTGATTACATTGCAGATCTTTCTTTGGATTTTGTCAAGAACTCCGAGATGAATAGACAAAGCATCAGACCAAATATGGCAGAATTATTCAATGCACTGACGAATGGTAGATTTCATAAATGTGCAAGATTGATTCTGACGAGAAAAAATTTCCGATAGGATACAGTGACCTAACTTTCCTAGCAATAGATGCAGTTATTGATTCAATATAAGCGCTCCAAGCGTGAATCCTAGAAGGCTCAGTGTGCTGCTCTCCTGGGGTCTAACATTAGCGATGCTGAAGTCAAGCAGAAATGGTTCTTTGTGATATGAAATGAGTTGAGTACGTGTTAAATATATTCCCGTCCAAAAATGTTATTACATTTTTGCAGATATATATTAGGGAGCTTACACTAAAATGGAGAAAACCCCTTTGTCTCGGCATATTTTGTTAGCGTTACAAAAAAAATGAAAGTAAAATATAGCCAAACATTTTGTTAATTTAACTGAATTTTGTACAGCAGGACCCAAAATCTACATATAGGTCAGTTTTGATAATTTTTTTAACTTGTTTTTTATGGCTTATCAACCTTGGGCAGGATATTTAAAGCCAGAAAATATTTTTAGATTAAAAGAAAAAAATATTTATTTTCTGGAGATAGCAATAATTTACTGATAAAATTCCTAATAATTAACCCATAGCTAAGGGGAGGAGAAGGAATGTATTCATACCTGATCGAAAGGTATTTGAATGTATGTGAATCTAAGGAACCTGACCTGAATTAGAACTCGACTCTCCAATTACCAATTCCCAGACGTTGTTCAAAACGCCACCCGCATATCTAAACTTACAGCATATATTATTCTCAAACGGTCAACCATCTAGGTGTCGACCAGGGTCGATGTTGCTTAACTTCGATGATCGTACAGGAACGGGTGTTTCAACGAGATACGGCCGTAAGCCCATTACACCAGACGCATATCGAAGCTTACAGCATCTGGTATTACCAAGTGGTCACCCATCTTGGTACTAACGAGGCTCGACGTTGCTTATCTTTTAACTTCGGTGACCATACGAGAACCGGTGTTTCAACTTAATATGGCCGTAAACCCATTCCGTAAGCATATCCATGCTTACAGCATATGGTATTCCCAAAAAGTCACCCATCTAGGCACTGACCATATTCGACGTTGCTTAACTTCGGTGATAGTACGAGAACCGGTGTTTTAACGTCATAAGCCCATTAAAACACCTGCTTATCCAAATTTGATATTTCCGATCGGTCACTCATTTAGGCACTGGCCAGTTTCGACGTTGCTTAACTTCGGTGGGCTTACTAGAACCGGTGTTACAACGTAATGTGGCCGTAAGCCCATTACGTAAGCATATCAAGCTTACAGCATCTGGTATTCCCGGGCGGTCACCCATCTAGGCACTGACCAAATTCGACTTTGCTTAACTTCGGTGATAGTACTAGAACCGGTATTTTAACGTCATGTGACCGTGAGTTCATTAGAACACCCGCATTTCCAAGTTTGGTATTTCCGAGCGGTCACTCAGGCAGTGGCCAGTCTCGACGTTGCTTAACATCGATGGCCTTACGGGAAATGGTGTTACAACGTGATATGGCCGCAAGTTTTGATAAAAACTGTCACCTGTTTTCATTGTTCAGTGTTCCATTGATCTTAATCAATTTTTTTATGTAGAACCACCGAATCTTTCTCTTTCTATTTTTATGTCTGCATTGTTTCTTGTACCAATTCGTCGTCCCACGCATCACTTTTGACACTCATTTCAACAAAATTCCAATGACGTTTCAACCAGAAAAAGAAGTAGAAAACAACTCTTCAGAACCGATCATCCACGTGTAACGTCAACGGACATCAGATTTAGCATTCAAACGAAAGACAATGGCACTATTAAACCAATGCACTGATTAAAATGCATTTAACATTTCCTCTTCAATTATACACACTCCTGACGAGGACTTATATGAATCGAAAGCGTAGACCTTAGACAAATTTTGACTATTCTTTCACATTAACAGCAGCAACATGTTGGAAATGTTATTAGTAAAATTATCAAGTTAATTTACAGCAAAATATGTAATCTTTTAAAGAAGACATTTAAAAGAAAATGGTTGCCAAAGGATAGATTCATATTGATCATTTACATTTTAATTTATAAGTATTTACCTGGCTCGAAGATAAGTAAATATTGTTCGTTTATATTTTAGTTTATAAGTATTTACCTGGTCCGTAGCGAAGATAGGTAAATATAAGTCGTTTATATTTGAGTTCACAAGTATTTACTTAGACCAAAGATTAATCATTTATATTTGAGTGCATAACTATTCCTCAGGTCCGCAGATAATGAAATATTAATCGTTTATATTTGAGTTTATAATTATTTACCTGGTCCGAAGATACACCCTCGTCTAAATTAATTTAGTTTCCTTTCTTTCATCATACGGTCAGTTTTAGTCCCACTGGAGTGACAGGGTGTAATCGATTTCTATTTCCCCGTCAGATTTGCAGTGGTGTGCAGTAATATGAATTTATTTTCGGGGTGTATGAAATATTGCGTCATCCGTGATTGCATCAGATTTTCATCACGCCCAGACACTATTGTCAGGACTGTCGATTAGTTGTCCTACGGCCATCATCAATGATGGACATTACTCCAAAGAAGAGTACGAAAACTGTAACGTGGCGCGAAAACACTTGCAAGCCATACTAGCGGGAAAATCAAAGTACTATAGACTGGTCCGGAAACTTTCCTGATTTAAATCCAATCGAGAATCTGTGGTCAATCTGCAAGGAACGACTTCGTGGAATGGACATATGAAGTACTAACATATGCACTGTCATGTTTCAGTGGAAAAATACGAAAAAAACGTAAATAAGAGAATTATTCATTTTCTTTCAATTAATTTATATATGGGTGAAATGTGTTTCAATTATGCGTTGTTTCGTTCAGCAAACCAGTAGCTCACCACATCTGAGGATCTGTTTTACTGTCATTATAAAAGCTTTGAAACTGTTAACCTATGCAGACAGGTACTTCAGTGAATGGATAGATACCCCTTCGGTAGAAGAATCAGCAATATTATTGGTCTTGACCTGGCGTCTTGGCTTCAAACACTATTGTCTCGACTGTCGATTATTTGTCCTACGGCCATTGTCTGCGATGGTCATTACTCCAAGGAAGCGTACGAAAATGTTAACGTAGCACGAACAGACTGGCAAGCCATACCAGTGAGCAAATCAAAGTACTATAGACTGGGCCGGAAACTGTCCTGATTTAAATCCAATCGAGAATCTGCCGTCCATCTGCAAGGAACGACTTAGTGGAATGGACATACGAAGTACTAACATGGGCAGTGGGTCATGTTTCGTTGGAAAAATACGAACAAAAATAAATAACTGAATTATTCATTTTGTTTCAGTTAATTTGCAAAAGGGTGTATATATTTTTGCCACATCTAGCCTGATGATTTTCTCAGGCTTTTAGAGATTTTTGATAAAATCCAAAGAAGAATCTGCAATGTTTCTGGTCTTAACCTGTCGTCTCGCTCCAGTCACTTTCTCACCGCAGTAACGTAGCCTCCCTCTGCCTTGTCTATAAACATTTTTATTGCAATTTTTCTGATGAACTTTCCTCTTTGTTACCTCAATGCAGTACTAGACGAATTAAGTGCAGTACTAGATTGGTGGCAAGGTCTCATCATTTTACAGATAAATATCGTCATGAAATACACTTCCCCAGTTGACCTGAACAAAATAAATAAATACATAAATGAATAAAAATCTATTACAAAAAATTTAAAACAGCTAATCTTATTCTCAAAAATAACAATACAAAAGCAAAATGAAAATTACAACGAACGAACATTATCTATGAGTTCAAATGCCCCTTAAAGAACTGTGGTCAAAAAGAATTCATAAATAATGACATTGGTCACACAACTACATCCCTATCTAGACGCCTTAGTAGAACCCATTTAAATACACACACACAAACTTACCAGACTGCACCCAAAACATACTAATAGAACACATAAAAAAATTAACCTAAAAAAAAATAAATATAATGGACGCCTTAATAATAAAAAAGAAAATGCCAAAACAATAATATTAACTACAAACACCGCCACCATGTACTGACCGTGTTCGGAAAATAAAACATCCCTAAAACTTTAGAAATATAAACACAACCCATACATCCAGTTAAAAAGTAAAAATAAAATCATCTTTGATAATAGCTAAAAGAATAGTCGAAAGCGCTTGGAATTATAGGATATTTGGACAGTTTCTACACTCTCTCGTCCAGAAAAAAACACTTATTCAAACACAAGAAAAATTAAATAAAAAGCTTTATAGCAGTACCTTGTCTTTCGTCTTTAATGAAACATATATGTATATATAGTTTTTAAAGTGTGCTATATTTATGGGATAATATGCTCAATATCAGAGATAGAGCGTATATAAATATAAAAGTGAAGTCAGCCCTCAGAGGCGACCGGCTGTTTCATGCTAGACGCCATCGTCAGGCCGCGAGTGGTGGATTTTTCTCGACTATTTATATATATGGGTCAGTGGTGCATTGTGGGTAATCCATTCTGGCGAGAGTGGCTTGGTTGTTTATTTATTTGGGTTAATTTGTTTTACTTGTTTTTATTTTTAATTTGAATTTTATATTTATTTATTCTCTTCGGTTTTCGATGTTTTATTAACGTAGCAAATCCCTCAGTCGCATTTGTGTGGTTTATTTATACTGCAACTACAGTTTCTGGAAGAGAGCGTGTTATCTAGCGTGATCAACAATTTGAACAAGGCCAGTACGCTCGGCCACAGCTATCAATTTCACTCGCAAGACTTGGGTCAACCAGTGGTATGGTTTTCAGGCAATTTCCAAAAGGTTACGCACGCCGGGATCGACCACTCCAGTCCGATAACATCTGGAAGTTTTCCTTCCTGACAAATCGAGATTCGAACCTGGGTCTCATGGTCAAAATGCGAATGTTCTAACCCTTTTGCCACGCGCCTACGCGCAGACACACACAATATATATATATATATATAGTGTGTTGAAACAAAATGACTAGTAATTGTTGGTTATTGGAATTCATTCCGTATATACCAATTTTATACTTGGGTATATATATATATATATGTGTGTGTGTGTGTGTGTGTGTGTATTACATGAATCATTCATACAAAAAATACATTAGTAAAGTTAATGATATAAATGGCGAAAAACATCTTCGCAAACAAATTTATTAAAGTTACATTAACCTACGAACCACTTTGAATGTTATGATCCTTGTTTTTAATAACTTCAAGTTGTATAAGGTCTTCATAATGTCAAGTTGTATAAGGTGTTTTACTAGTACTTTCAGCTGTACTTACAACCATCCTCAGGCATGGAAATTAATTTATCTTTTAGTAAATCCAGGTAGTAGCGGGACACGAAATATTAAATGCGAATCGAAATAAGTTTTTTTTAGAAATGTGTTATTATTAACGGATAAGAAATTTGGGAGCTTGTAGTCGCAACGCTAAGGTTGAATTTTATTTTGAAAATTTAAGACAGTGCGTTTTATATATAAAGTAGGCTGATAGATATGAACATATTGAGATAACTACACAAATGGTAAGTGAGGGGATGAGAGTCGTTTTTGGCAACAGTCCAACACTTTTTATACTAGACCAATACGTTTTTAATTCTATTCTCTGCTAAAATAATGGTATTTCTGTGGGCAGACTGGAACTGAATTCGCAAAACTGTATTCGTTCAGTTTTTAATCAGTCGGGCCATTCCATTAACACCCTCATCTTCCTATATATATATATATATATATATATATATATATAACTAGACTCGTTTCGAAAAACCCTCGAATTTTCGATTTGCTAATCAAATCAATCTCGAGGGAAAAAAGGTTTTAAAAAAAGAAAGAGCTACAAACATGGACTTCTGCCGACAAAAAAATCGCACAGATGCAGGTCTGAAGCCCAAAGAAAAAACCCCGATACGAGTAACAACTAACTAACAAAAGAGCTCAATACAACCGTAGAGCAGTGAGCCAAACTTTCCCTGACGATCCGTTTAGGTGAAACCTAGGTAGGTTTGTCTGGCTCACTAGGTCTATCTATCTATCTATCTATCTATCTATCTATCTATCTATCTATCTATCTATATATATATATATGTGTGTGTGTGTGTGTGTGTGTGTGTGTGTGTGTGTGTGTGTGTGTGTGCGTATATATATATATATATATATATATATATATATATATATATATATATATATATGGGGGTGGTGCTGAGGCACGGCTTGGATTGAGGAATCGGAAAGCCGAGTTAAATTCCAGTCGAATCCATTACATTCACTTACGTACTGATACCCTTGGGAAAGGTATGAATCCTCTTCTTCTCCCTCCAGCTATGGGCAAAATAGCAGGACAGACTGGGTTCTATAGCCTTAGATGGAAACTGGTCTAGGAGAAGGAAAACTCTGAATTCAAAAACCTGCGGAGGGTCGTTTGGGGACCTTGTGGCACTTAGTGCACCAGGTCTCTGTAATCGGCCCTTCAAAAAGTGTGGATGGTCTTGCACGGAACCTTCACCACTATAATCAAATCTCATGTGCTGTTGTCGGGCTGTCGGTTTCCTAGGAACTGATCTGCTTGACCCTCATACATCGAATTTCTACAGGAGAGTCGAGTATGTGTGTCTCTCTCTCTCTCTCTGTCTGTGTGTGTTCGTGTGTGTGTGTGTGTGTGTGTGTGTGTGTGTGTGTGTGTGTGTTTGTGTGTTTCAAAGACTGCGATTAAGCTTTTTATTTAATTTAAACGTGAAGGAAACATTTCTGTATGAGGATAAGAGTTCTTTCTTTTTGTCTGAGTCAGCATTTATTACGAGAAAACATTGTGCAGTTGTTCGTTTGACTGGTTTTTCGAGGGAAACGCCTTTGTCAATCATCATTTAAGGCCGGTAGAAAGTAGGCTTGTTTCCTGTGATTTCACGCATGCGCAAACTTCTACGTGATGCAGCAAGCCAGATTAACTTTTCTCTCCCGAAGATACTAGATTTTCTGTCGAAATTTGATTCTTTATAATATATACACGTTTTCGCCTAAAATTGTCCATTGAATCCCGGGGCTTAATGCAACTAAATAAACGTGTAAATAAGGTAATATTTTGGTTCAGAAATAGAAATTATCAAGGATTACTTTGATATAAAAAATCTCCATTTTGTTTTTTACAAAATCATGAAAATTTATAGCATCATTATTTAGTCATGAAAGCATTTTCCTTGGCTTCCTTTGAGCTTTTGGCCTTGACAGTTAAATCATGTATTTTATGATATTCATCGTATCATTATTCAATTAGTCCTGGGTATGACGATAAATTACATCCGGCAGCAAGTCCTCTGATCGGGAGATTGGAGGTTTTGAGGAGCGTGGTACCACCTATTAATTGTTGTTGTTCACAGGTCCACCCTGACCCCGGGTGGTAGCACATGTTAAGGACACAGCTATGGGCAAATAATGAAACTCCAACAAAAATCAACGGTACATTATTATAAAAAAATGACCAACAATACATTTTTATCGTAAAATCAAAAACTTAATATATATATATATATATATATATATATATATATATATATATATATATATATATATATATATATATATATATATATATATATATATATATATATATAAAACACTTTCATAAAATGATCAACAATACATTTTTTAAAGCAAAATGAAAATCAAGGCAAAACTCAAAATATAAAAAAACACGTTTATAGGAAAATGACCAAGAATACAGTTATTTGTAGTTGAAGACATACAAATGCGTTCAAAATATTTAGATTGTTTGATAAAGCCACTAGGACGCAAGAGGTCCCTGAGTGTTAGAGAATATGAGAAAAACTACTATTAAGGAGAGAAGACAATAAAAGAACAAGAATTAAGAAGACAGAAGATAATGATTGACATTGCATTTAATTTTTGAAGATCAAAGGCAATAAAGCCACTAGGACGCAAGGTGTTACTGACTGTTAGAGAATATGAGAAAAACTACTATTAAGGAGAGAAGACAATAAAAGAACAAGAATTAAGAAGACAGAAGATAACGATTGACATTGCATTTAAATATTTGAAGATCAAAGACAATAAAGCCACTAGGATGGAAGGGGTTACTGAGTGTTAGAGAATATGAGAAAAACTACTATTAGGGAGAGAAGACAATAAAAAGAACAAGAATTAAGAAGACAGAAGATAATGATTGACATTGTATTTCAATTATTGAAGATCAAAGGCAATAAAGCCACTAGGATGGAAGGGGTTACTGAGTGTTAGAGAATATGAGAAAAACTACTATTAGGGAGAGAAGACAATAAAAAGAACAAGAATTAAGAAGACACAAGATAACGATTGACATTGTATTTCAATTATTGAAGATCAAAGGCAATAAAGCCACTAGGATGGAAGGGGTTACTGAGTGTTAGAGAATATGAGAAAAACTACTATTAAGGGGAGAAGACAATAAAAAGAACAAGAATTAAGAAGACAGAAGGGTTACTGAGTGTTAGAGAATATGAGAGTTATATACCGTACCTATGAACACTAATGTCCCAACCCTCATAAATACGTTGGACACAATTGTAAGTGGGGGTAATATGCCGTCTAAGTAGTCCACCACTAGCAGTGGTTTACCGCTGGCGAGTATTGTATTTTGTTGATGTTTAAAAATTAACATTTCATTTCCAACCTCCTTTTTGGTTATTCCTCAATTAGTAACCCTTCCTAGGTTACAACAAATGTTATGGTAGAGTTTTACTAAATGAGGCGGAGGTAGAAGAATATGATGATTGAGAGGATGAGGATGATAGACATTGTCTTGACTCTGAACTGAAAAGATAAATATTATATTGCTAGCCTAACTCCATATTGAATCGATACTTAGGTCAGCTGCTAAAAAATGCGTTCACTGTGTCGTATGAGGAAATTCTTTCCCAGGAATCCACCATTAATCTATGCTTAGAATATTGTCCAGTGTCCATGGTATTTACCTTGAGCTCCTTGATAAAATCCAAAGAATCAGCAATATTATTGGTCCTGATCTGGTGGCTCGGCTTCAATCACTTGCCCACTGCCATAAGGTTGCCTCTCTGTGGATTTTTTTATAAAAAAACTTTCATGGTAATTGTTCAGATTATTTCTTCACTATGGTACATTGACTGAAAAAAAATTAATCACAATGCTTGAATGTCGATAAGATCTCATCAATTTACAGTTAAGCTGGCTAAATGTAGCCGTAAGTTCTATGCTGAGAGTTTATTTTCTCGCCTGTGGAACTTGGCTCCATGATTTCCAACCAACTTTAATCTTCAAATTTTTAAATGCAATGTCAATCGCTATCTAATGTCCTCCTGATTACTCTTTCCTCTTCCCGCTCATTATTAATGTTTCTGTTACTAATTCTTGCACACCCAGTAACCCCTTGTGTCTTAGTGGCTTTATTGCCTTGCTTGTGGAACTCCCTTCCGGTTCCATGCTTTACAGCCAACTTTAATCTTCAAATATTTATATGCAATGTCAATCGCTATCTACTGTCCTCCTGATTACTCTTTCCTCTTCCCGCTCATTATTAATGTTTCTGTTCCTAATTCTTCCACACCCAGTAACCTCTTGTGTCTTACTGGCTGTGCAGCCTTGCTTGGATGATACCGATTTATATATATATATATATATATATATAAAAGGAAGAGGTTATAGTAGTTCCAACGAAAGAAAAGTGAATATATTAAAAAGAAGAGAGAAACGGCAAACGTTTTTGGTTGTAATGGGAATTTTTAAAAAAAAATATTATGTTTTATTTCTATAATTTTGCTACACGGGTTTCCGGTCTCGCGTCCTTCATCAGGTAAAGGGTGGACATTTCTACATATTATAAAAAGTAATTTTTTTTCTCCTTTATGTTTTTAAATGTTAAATATTCCCGATATGAGACATTCTCTTTTTTGTATGTTAGTCACCCAAGTGTCTTTCTTAGACTTTAATATATATATATATATATATATATATATATATATATATATATATATATCATTCTGATGCTATCTATCTAATTGCAATTCTCGACAATTCAACAGATGTTATCAGCCCGAACGCGGGCCAGCTTCCGAATGAATCATTATTTTCATTTTATCAAGCCATCACATTTTCTCAAAGGAAATATGATGCTACTTCTTTCAACCTGCATTCTCGATAACTGACCATATCGGCGGTATTATAGTGGACGTAATTCAAGAAGGAAACGAGTCCCAGCGGCCAAGTAGATTGGAAAATATGGGGTTGTATAAAGAAAATAGGCAAGTTGGGAGACATGTTTTCAGAAAGGGATGATAAGTAAATCTTTCGTTTCCTGTGAAAATGCGACGCTGAGAATATAGAGAAAATCGCTGTTTACTTTCATGTGTTGATAAAACGCCGTTCACAGCACGAGTTAAGTTATTTATTCAGCCTTATGTAGTGAATTTGATCTTCACTGCATGCTTCACACTTACGGCTTCCTGCAACATCTAAGCTATACTAAGAAAAGCATTTTAACCTTGTGCCACATCTAAGCTAAGCTTGGAAAATCACTCTTCAGCCTTGAACGAACCGCGCTAATGGCGAGTTCAATGAAATACAAAACGCATAGCATTAACGATTTTACAACGTTGTGGGAAGTTGAATCGATTTCCTGGGTTCAATTTAACATCAAATCAAGACTTGAAAATAAACAAGTATTTTTCTTACTCTGGACCCAAATAAATGTTTATAAACTCAGATATTAGCGACAAATATTTACTAATTTCCAATCAAGTAAATCCTTAAAAACTCTAATTTATATGACACATATCTACCTAGTTTGGGTCAGGTAAATACTTATAAACTCAAATGGTAAACGCCCAATATTTACGTATCTTCAAACCAATTACTGTATTTTACGGCTTACAAGACGCACTTTTTTCCTAAAAATACCAAGAAAAATACGTGCGTGTCTTCCAAGACGAATGTACAGCAACGTTCAGGCTCAAGTAGGCCTGGACAGTCACGTAATTGGTTTGATAGGGAGATAAATTTGTATATTGAGTCATTACACTATCTAATTCAGCCTTTTATATGATGTAACCTCAGTAATTTTCTGTAACAAGTATTTTTAAGACTATAAACCTTCCTGGAGCCGAGCCACAAACTTAAACATGTTCTGTTTACTAGCAGCGACAGGAAACTTTGTGCTCTTGACTAGTATATAATTGTCATGCAAACAAAATCGGACGAGTGATTAATGTAAACAAAACGTTGCGCCAGTATGTGAGGGACGCATGCTGAGTGTGTTGTTGCATGAGAATGATTTTTTACCAATTAATATTTACCTTCAGACCAGGTAATTGCAAACTCAAATATAAACGACTACTATGTACTAATTAATTGAATAATTCCGTTATTATTTACATTTTTTTCGTATTTTCCAACGAAACATGACACAGTGCACATGTTAGTACTTCGTATGTCCATCACCCGAAATTGTTCCTTGCAGATTGACCACAGATTCTCGATTGGATTTAAATCAGGAGAGTTTCCGGGCTAGTCTATAGTACTTTGATTTGCTTACTGTTAAGGTTTGCCAGTGTATATATGCAGTGTTACAATTTTCGTATGCTTCCTTGGAGTAACGTCCATCGCGGAGTATGGCCGCGGGACAACTAATCGACAGTCGAGACAATAGTGTCTGGACGTGATAAAAATCTGATGAAATCACGGATGACGCAATATTTTTCCAGGACAAACAAAGTTTATGATACAACCCGAAAATAGATTCATATTACTGCACACTGCAAATCTGAGGAAAAAATAGAAATCTATTACATACTGTCACTCCAGTGGATCTAAAACTGACCATATGGTGAAAGAAAGAAAACTAAAGAGGTTGTTTCAATTAATTTAGACGAGGGTGTATCTTTGGACCAGGTAAATACTTATAAACTCAAATATAAACGACTAATATTTGATTATTTTGACCTAATAAATAGCTATGAACTCAAATATAAATGATTAATCTTTGGTCCAAGTAAATACTTGTGAACTCAAATATAAACTACTTATATTTACCTATCTTCGCTTGGGACCAGGTAAGTACTTATAAACTCAAATATAAACGAACAATATTTACTTATCTTCGAGCCAGGTAAATACTTATAAATTAAAATGTTAAGGATCAATATGAATCTATCTTTGGAGCAGATAAATGTTTATAAACTGAAATATAAACAACCAATAATTGCTTATCTTCGGGCCAGTCAATTACTTATGAATCAAATATAAACTACTCATATTTACTTACTTCAGATCCAGTAAATACCTATATGTTCCTTTTTTAAGTTAGATACGTTTTGATTGGTCACCGTTTCGACCACATCCGGTTAGACCTTGGCACGGGAAACCGTACACAATAAAAGCATCACACCAAACACGTAGTCGGTAGTTCTATTCTCCTGATTTTACATATCACCAGTTTGTATCTTTTTTTTTTATCTTCCTTTCAACATCTAACTATTTTATTTCTGTGTTATTATTTTGAACATGAAACGGCTTATATTGGCATTACTATTAGAGATAAGAAGAACAGATACTACACTTTGGTACCAGCCGATAGAGTAGCAATGAATGCTGAATGTTTCTTTATAAGGAAAAGGCTAATATTACCATCATTAGAAAGGAGGAGAACAGATACTACACTTTGATCCCATCCCAATGGTGAGGAAGTGAAGAAAAGCCTTACTTGAGTAGCACTGGCTGCTCGGTCAATGAATGCTGAATGTTTCCTTATAAAGAAACAGCTAATATTACCATTATCATTAGAGAGGAGGAGGAGAACAGATACTACACTTTTATCCCAGACCGATGGCCAGGGAGTGAAGAAAAGTGTACCGAGTAGCAATGGCTGCTCGGTCAATGAATGCTGAATGTTTCCTTATATGGAAAAGGCTAATATTACCATTACAATTAGAGATGAGGAGAACAGATACCTCACTTTGATCTCAACTCAAAGTTAAGGAAGTGAAGAAAAGCCTTACATGAGTAACACACTGGCTGTTCGGTCAATGAATGTTGAATGTTTCCTTATAAGGAAAAGGCTAATATTACCATTATCATTAGAGATAAGGAGAACAGATATTACAATTAAAATTTACCTGACGTCCCAGACTGGCTGGACGTGGCACAAAGTCTGTTTAATATAGGGAACCCGTGCCCGTGAACCCGGACCAGGTTTAAAAAATAGCCTAATCCTCCGTAAACGTCAATTACTTTGGCATCGGTATAATTACCGATTGCCTTGTTAATGCAATGAGGGAGGTACTGCCGTGGACAACGGTTCTCCGGAAAAAGCACCTCTTAGTAATATTTTCAGTTGCACACTATTCCTGACATTGAGCTCTTTAACCCATTTATTTAAATCATATCTATATATATATATATATATATATATATATATATATATATATATATATATATATCTGCAGGGTAAGATAGTAAATTGTCGCCATTTTGCATTTTCAATTTTGCGCATGCGTGTTGTTTATTTTTTGAGTTTGTCGAGTTAGTATAGTAGGGTCAGTTGGGCACCGCCTGTAACAAAAAGAGCACGATGACGCCATAAATCTTGGAAACGACAGACTGTACTGCTTGGCATTATCTCCGGAAGCTCCAATACAAACATTTCAGAGTGTTTGCGAGCCAATCTGAGAACAAAATTTGGAAAGAGTTGGATGAGTCTAATGGTGATTTCGAAGGAGTTTTGCGTGATCTCCAGTGATGTTGATGTCATGCCTCCATTCATCTTCCCACATGGCCTCAGACTCCATATGGAGGCCTACATCAATTGTCTTGAAGAAGTAGGGCTTCTCTAGGTCAAGACGCCGGCTTCTGGAAAACTCTATGTCTGACAATATTATCTGCACCATGCCACACAGGCATGAGAACTCAGTCAAGGCAGTCAGATAATTTCTGCGACCACATCACTCATTACATCTGGCCACTTAACTCCCCAGACTGCAACCTCCTTGAGATGGAGACCAAGAAAACTCCTTGTAATACCAAAGGTGTTCCGAAGACAAGGATTACGGAAGCATTCACCAAAAATTATTCACGTAGAGTATATATGTAAAATGACAGTATGAATAAAGACAGAGAGAAAATTTAACTTACCCGACGCGTTTCATCCGGTGAAAGACTTTACATTAGCTTTGATAATTTCCCTTAGATGACTAAACGCGTCGTCTAAGATAAGTGTTACTTTTGTCTTCATCTCTCTCTCTCTCTCTTCATCTCTCTCTCTCTCTCTCTATATATATATATATATATATATATATATATATATATATATATATATATATATATATATATATATATATATATAAATGTTCGCCTATCTTCCAGTCCACATTCGTCCTTGGCCTTTTGATATGTTACCTGTATAGGATTCAGTATCCTGTTCCTTCACATCCTGTAGCCTTTTGCATCTTAGTGGCATTATCGCCTCGATTGGGGTGAATTGATTAATATATATGGAAAATAAAGCATAATATTTAAAAAAAAAAAAATCCACATTACAACCAAAAACGTTTGCGGCACCTCTCTTCTCTTCTTTTTAATATACATACTTTTCTCTCGTTGGAACAACTATAACCTCTTTCTTATATATATATATATATATATATATATATATATATATATATATATATATATATAAGTGAACATGGAAGTCAACATTCAGAGGCGACAGGCTGTTTCAAGCTGCACACAATACAGAGAGGAAGCTTATATTTAACATTAGGAAGGGCAGCTGAAATTTCCGGGACAAGTAATGAGAAAAGAGGGCCTGGAGAATCTGATACTCTCAGGTCGAATAGACGGGAAGAGAGCTAAGGGAAAGCAAGGCATAAACATATCTGGCAGGCTTGAGCAAGTGGATGACAGAAAGTGATCTGGGAGGTGGCAAAGAGGAAACTTATTGAGAGCTACAAAGGATAGGAGGAAGTGGAGAGCCATGATCATTCACGCCCTGAAAGGACACGCTGCATAAAAATAAGGAAACATAAATAAAAAAAAATACACCGTTTGATATTTGAACGGAACATCTACTCAAATACGAGTATCTTTTGAAAATAACGTTTAAGTAATAAAATCCACCCCTTTCTATAAATATATATATATATATATATA